CGGAGGAGACAGCGCCCGCCCTCTGCCGGCAGCAGCCCGCTGCGCACGGGAACGCGCAGGAGGGAGCGTAGTCACAGCCACGCAACAGCCCGAGCCGGGAGCGACCCACGGGGGTGACCGAGGCCATCTCCTGGCTCCACGCTGCACCGCCCAAAATTCGGCAGCAGGGCTCACCATTGTGATTTCAGGCAAATCAGTGCGGGGACCAAAAGGATCAAACTTGTTTGATTGTTTCATTTTAAGTGCTACAGAGTATTTGTAGATGGGAATGAATAAATAAATAAGAGATCTGACACTTCATAGATAACTTGCATGACAGATAAAGCTCTTTGATATATCATTTGGTTGTAGTTCGAGGGCACAGATTTCAGTAACGGGCAAGGAACCAAAGCCTCACTGCCTTTCAAGAATATAATATCCTTCACTACTGAAAGTGACACTTACACATCTCTGAATCTTTTGTCTTTATTCCCTAGGTGTGTGTCTTCAGCTCCAGCAGCACCCTACTGCACAAGTTACAAGCTTGATATTAACAGGATAATACGCAGATTGCCCAGTATCCAGCAGGAGCACAGGTATGGAACCTGACCCGAACATTAGCATAATTACTTGAAATGCTCTTTTAGTTCAAGGACGTCCCCTTCAGACACCATAAGCCAAACTGTTCTAAAAAGTAGTGAGGGCAACATTAATTGCCATGCATTTATTAAGCAAGCAGGAGCATGTGGAGCCAAAAATGTGTCATGAACGGGACATAATGCCGCCTCTCCGTGATTCAGCACAGATCTGAAGTGAAGTGAAATGCACTTAAAATCCTTTTCTCTGGGTAGGGAGGTATACTTGGACCAGAGCCTTGCTAGTATAACACCCAGACTGAAAGTTTAGCACACTGATATAGCGTGTGAGCTTGGGTGGTTTTCAGAAGATCTGGTTCCTTAAATGAGTGAAGTACACAGTGATGTATGATTCTGGAAGTTGAAACGTAATCACCTGTTTTCATAGATTTTGCTAGCTATGAAAGAAACTTTCCTCAGATCACACTGCTACCACAAACAGTCATTCCCAGCATGAAAAAAAAAAAAAAAAAAAAAAAAAAAATACCACCAAAACCTCCGAAGTTTCAACTGGGAATGATGTTGTGTTGCTCTTGAAATGTGGGTAGTTTCATTTGCAGATCCACAGTATCACAAAGGAAGTAATTGCCTACAGATATAAAACTGCAGTATTTGATGCCTTGTGGTACATATGTCAGTGAAGTTAAGAGATATGTATCACACCTGCTTTTTTGATTGTACTATGCTGGGCTCTGCCATAAAATAAGAACAGCATGGCAGAGCCTGAGGGAATGGTACAACCAAAAGAAGGTGTGTGGTATGCCTTCAATGACAGGCATGCCACATGCTGCCGAGCGCTGCAAACAGCCAGGGGAGTAGCTTGAAAAATGTAGCCCTTGCTCAAGTACTTCATGCTGCTTCAGGTGTGTTTCAGTAGCTGAGAGCACTCTACCACATGTAATCACCTAATGTGGAGCCACTCTGCTCTCTTATAAATATTCGTGAAGTGAGTGCTTTCTCAGGTGAGTTGCCCCAAAGTGGCAGTATCTGTCTAGGGACATGATGCTCAGGGCAGGAATGAATTACTGAATCTTACCCGTAGTCGTCAACCCCTGAACAAGATTTCTGCTCCCACCTAACATAGGGTACCTTATTACCTCTGCTCCAGTCGTGATCCAAATTTCCCAGCTCTGTGCAATGGGGATCAGGAAATCGTTGTTTTTATACAGTGCCTGCTGCAATGTATCACTTCACCTCAGCTGTGCCACTGTAACAACCGAAAATATAAGTTCCCAGTCTGTTGAGTGCTGTAATTAGATTAATTTTTGTATAATTTTTTATAAATGTAGAGAACCTCAAGAAAACATCTAGAGCAAAACCTGGTAATTTATACTGCTATTCATGATGTTGATTATAAAGGCTGATAGGACTTTTCCAGTCCAACCTACCTTCTACATGATTGTTTTGCAACTCCAGATGCTTGAGCAATAAAACACGCTGGAGTCAAATGTACCAGCTCTGCACTTTCAAAAACTGCCTTTTAAGAGCTGAAAATTCCTGAGCTGACAGCAGGGGTGAAAAATTTCAAGTACTAATTCAGAACCTTACCCTCATTTAAAAAGCTCTTTTGGAAAACAAGCTAACAAAAACACACACAAGTCACATAGAAACACACAAACATTACCCTTGTTTGCATAGTCACTTGCCATAGATATGAAATTGCTGTTTCTTGAATCTAGCTGAATATACCAGCCAAAATAGCAGCTGTTAGGCACCTAGATTCACCTTTCAAAGCAAATGTTTGAAACCCCATATTTCTGTCTAAAATTGGAGATACTCATCTGCTTCAGACAATTTTCTGATGGGTATTCAGTAGTTACTAAAGGCATTTAAAGAAATTTAAATGGTAAACTTAAAGTGGAATATATTTTTAAGTCACCTACTTTTTAAACATCCAAGAAAACATCCTCTCCAGCCACATTCCATCAGAAAGCAAAAACAAATCCACCTTGGAATAAACCCAGACAATTTGAATTTTCTAATCCCAAATCCCTGAATTATCTCAGTCTTTTAACTGTGTCAAATCTGAAATTTATTAAGCTGGCCTGATAATTCTGCTCACCTCACAGGGAGAAAGCTAAAGAGTCCATGGGACAGCTTTCTGGATGGGCCATGTCCTATGTAGTAACATTTGGGATGCCCAGGCACAGGTAGTGTTTGTCAGTACGTGGAGGACCTCTGAGAACGCTCCATGGTTTGAGCATGTGCAGCAGATCGGATGCACTCTCTTATGCATAATGGAGCACAGAAAAATTGGAAAACACTTTCTCCAGAGAGCCTCTGTTTAGCTTTTAAGTGCTGTTGTTTGAACTGCCTTCTGTAGGTCAAAGCATATTTACTTCCAGCAGGAAAGTGATTCCTTCACACCTTAGGCTGCAGTACTCTGGTTCCTTTGTCTGCCACAACTTGGGTATTCGGAAAAGACTTGCTTTGCCTCCCAGCTGAGAGTTAGCTGTCCCCATGCTGTCACTTGCATGCTGACTGTGATCAGCTCTGCTCCCCATGCACTATACCACAGCAGAGGCTGACACACTGGCAGCCACTAGAGATCCCCAGACAAGGCTGCAGGGACATTGACTTGAAATTGGGATGGACCTATTTAATGAGGTCACTGAGGTACTAACTAGAAACTAAGCCTGAAACTATAGGTATTACTCCTGGGAAGACCCAAAACATCAAAAATAAATTAACTCCATTTAATGGAGAAACCAGACCTCCCTCTCCTGTCTCTTGTGGCACTGGATGTGCCTGTCAGCTTGTGCCTCAATGCATTCAACTTCCATATTTCAGGGATTTATTTTCTTGCCTCTGCAAAGTTTCATCTAGCACAAGAGAAACAGCAAGTACCCAACAAATGATAGAAGCTCCCAGCTTTACTGAGTTATGGCAAAACTGGCAGACAAATGTCATAGATAGGGAAATGATCTGTTCGCTTCCCACCCACCGCATAAGGCTGGGGAGTACAAGGTCTGGGATGTATGTAGGGCACAAGTAATTAAAAAAAAAACCAAAAAACAAAAAACAACACAAACAAAACAACAAAAACAAAACCAACCAAACAAAAAATACCCAACTTGTTCTGGAATTATGTTCTTGTTCAGAGTTCCCCTTCCACTGCTTACACAGCCTCCAAAGTAATGATGGAGCCTCAGTGTTTTCTAAACTGTGATGTAGAATTGGAAACAGACAGGACTAGAACACAGAAGCTGCTGGGCTTGAAGTGTGATCTCCCTGGGGCACCTTCCTGGCATATCTCCCTTCTGAAATAAAGCTCCCAAAACCCAGAAATAGGGATGGTCCATATGGGAAGGGCATTAACATCACAGGGCTGAGGTATAGAGCCCCATGGGGATAAGTAGCTACTGGGGCCCCAGGAAACTCTTACGCAGTATTGCCATGGCAGCCTCATGCTGCTACTTCTTCCTGACGGGCAGAAGGCAAAAGCAGCGTGTCTGGGAAGATGCATGAAAAAGTGCTGCTTGTCTCATGGGCAGCTCTCCTTAGGGAGCTTTTGGACTGCAGGAGAGGCTGCCCAGGGCAGCACAGTATGCTATGGGACTATAGGCCCCTGGAGTAGGGGCAGCCTGGCACATGAGAAGCTGTGTCTGGGCACTGCCACAGGCAGCCCACCTGGGGAACAGCAAGGGGAACAGCAACTTAAAAACCAAAACCAGCAGTGAATTCTAAGCAAGCCCTGGTCGAGCAATGAACCTCAGCTGTGGGCACTGCCTGTGGGATTCGGTGGACAAGCAATGAAGGCAGAGGGCAAGAGAAGGCATGTTGAGGGTGTTGGGCTAAGGGCTGGGACCCTGGGGTGACCTCAGCCTTTTAGGAGAGGCGGCAAAGGAAAGGAAAGGGAAAGCCGTTCCCTGGGGAAAGGGGCTCCCCAACCCCCTCCCGGGGTAGCCTTTCCCCCTGCTCCCTCAGCCGGATCGGGGAGGGCTGTTTGCGTTCGGTAGTGTGTATGCGTGTGCTTCAGCATCCGCGCAGGGGGAGCGGGGCAGGGCTGCGGCGGGTGGTTCCCAGCCTCCCCCGCCCCCTTTCCCTCTGGGTTCGCTCCTCGGCTCCGGCTCGCATTTGAGCGCAGGCGGGCGGCACAGCCCCTCTCCCAGCCCGGCCCTGCCCGGCCCCCACCCGTCCCCGCCCCGCGGGCTGCGGGCTGGAGCTAGCCTCGCCGTTCCGAGCCGCTCCGAGCCGAGGCACCCGCGGGAAGGCAGCGCTCCGCCGGGCTACGCTACGCACCCCGCCATGCCGCGCCCGTGCCCCGCCGCCCCCCGCCCCACCGCACTCCGCGCAGCCTGAGCGCCTGCGGGGCTCCGCGCCGGGACGGGGCCGCCGGCAGCTGAACTGGCTTCGAGACGCACCTCTCTGCGCTACCGCCCGGCTATGGGGAAAGGACTGGAGGGCACGGCGGCCCGCTGCGGGCTGGGAATGGGATACCTGCTGCACAGCGTGGTGCTCCCCGCGCTGGCCGTCCTGGGGGCCAGCCGGCCCGGCTCTGCCGCGCAAGGTGAGACTGCGGGGTCGGCGGGCGGGGCGAGCCGGCGGTACGCGGCCAGCGGGGCGGCTGCCCCGTCCCGTCCCGGGGTCTCCAGCCGGGAGCGGGACGGGGGGGAGCAGTCGTTGGGCTGGATGGGGCCCGGTGGGGCTGGGGGCTCTGCAGGCACAGCAGGTGGGAGCCGTTGCGGCCGCTCCGACCCCTCGGTAGAGGTCTTTGGTGAGACCCGCTTCTCCCACGCTCTGCTTCTTTCTTAAAGCGTGATGGACCCGAAGGCAGTTACCGCGTGTGTAGTGTCTTTATTTTATGTTACTGTTTTATTTTCGCCGGGTCGGGGCATTTACTAAGTATGTTTCTCTCCGAGCTTGTGTGCAAATTCCCCCATCAAAGTGAAAGTGGCTCCATGCGTTCCGCGGTGCCTGGAGCATCAATCACAAAGAACCCCGGTTCGGTTTGCCCCAGCCCGGCTGCTGCAGGCAGGCACAGCGGGAAGCTGCTTCTGCTGCCAGATAAAACTTTCTCGGTGCTTTTCTCCTCTCTTCCCGGGAGTTTGAGCTGAAGTGGAAATGATGGCTTCTGCTGAGAAATACTTTTCTACGAGCTGCTCAGCACTGGGGGGAGAGAGGTTGCTTCTGCGTGTGGGCAGCACAGCACGTAGCAGGGATGTGCGCGTTCGTTAAAGCTCTTGCAAATTCCCGGTTACGTTGGTAGCGAGAGAAAGGAATTGTCAGAAGCTGATCGCGTGTTTCATACCTGCCACCGAGAAACAGCAACGTGCAGCAAAGCTTTGATTTGGAGATGTCAGCACAGTGCAAGTGGAAGAACACTGGTTTCCCCCTCATCACTTCAGTCGAGAGGCACTAGAGACGGCCTCACAGCCCGATCCCGTGCTCTCTCCCAGCCATCGCAGCCTACTCCTCTCCAGCCTTCGGCCTGGGGAGTGCTCCCGCCCGTTCTTGTTCCCGTTGTCCCCGGCAGGGTGTTGGGATGCAGTGCGCATCGTTTTTGTACCTTAACCCCGTTAATCCTTACCCGGTGGTACTTGCTTCACCCTTGGTCACGTTTCCACAGTACACCAGGAATTTATCTCGCAGGGATATCGGAAACCTGGTCGTGAAAAAGAGACTGTAGAAAATGGAAGTACAAAAACCGATTATGCATCATATCACATTTCTGCATCGTTTATTTCCTCGGTTGCTTTCCTGTTGGATGTGGCTGGGGCTTGATGTTTCTGTTTTTCAAGCTTTTATTAGCACCATGTGCACACAGACCTAGATGTCAGTGGCTTCATGTCAGTCTGTGCAGATCTGAGGATTGAGAAGATCCCCTTGGGCAGCAGGACCTGGAGTAGCAAGGAGCCTGATGTCCTGCTGGCAGGACACGGGGACCTGCTGCTCCACGTCTGCCTGCTGCAGGGCATCCTGCACCCACTGCCACGTGTTCATAATGTAATGCTGCATGGCAGAGTGCTGTGTGTGCGCTTAGGGACACGACCAGGGGGCATTAGTGCGGGACCAAGAAAGGCAGGAGAGGTCTCGAGCAATATTTCCCATCATTTGCCATGTCACACACTTTCCACGACTGGGTGGAAAACTGAGGGAGATAGTCATTTGGTTTTGACGCATTTTTTCCACGGCTGCTTTTATTTTTGTTTCCTGTTTGTTGGATGTGGGTGCAGAATTTGGGTGCAGACCTGGCTTTGGCATCCTTCCCAGAGCTGAGGGATTTTCTGATTGGTGTTTGTCTTAGTGAACTTCATTTATGTATGCATAGTGCTTCTGTAAGGCAATGAATCAACAGTTTAACTGTGCCCTCTTCAGGAAGTTTTCTTACTATATCTCACGGGCAAAGTTTTAGTGCTCTTTTGTTTCTATGTTTCCAAAATACGCAAATATTAAAATGATTCTTATGCAACCTCATTCTCCAAAGTCATCACCCAGTTGGTCAATCTTTTCTGTGGTGGAACCCCTCCACCAGTTCTTTCATTCACAGACCCTTGAAAGGAGCAGAAATGGAAAATGTGGCACTCTCCAAATCAGCCTTAGTCTTTTCTGATTTTCAGTGGGTCTGGAGCCAGCTGACATGGTTTTAATTGTGCAAACAATTCAGTCGTCCTATGTGATGCTTTGAAAACCAAAAACAACAGGAAAAAAAAAAAAAAAAAAGGCTTAAAGGGGTGGCTGTCTTCAACCAGCAAACACCGACACAGTTATAATTTTAAGAGGAATGGAAGGAGGTGCATTCCCCCCCCCCCCCAGTACTTGCTCCTAGTGCTATTTCTTATTTTGCTTTGCTTCTCCATTCCCCAACCAGCTTTATCTTTTGAAGCTGGCTAGGGAAGCCGTGGGCGTTGTGGGGCTTCTGCTTTAATGCTTTCCCTTTCCATTGCCTCTTGGAAAATAAATGTATCAATTGAGTGCTTGGTGGATCAGCCCCCATGCTCCCTTGCAGAGAGATTCATATCATTGCATCCCAGAATCCTCCTGTAAACCATTCAGCAGACCTAAATACACTTTTTTATTATCATTTCTTATCTTATTATCTGAAGCTGTCTTAAGTATTTTTCCGTTGTTATCAGGAGAGAACAGGAAATGGCCCCAATGTTAGAGAGAGCCTGTAATTTTTAAAGGGGAGTGAAAAGGGCCAGGGAAATTATCAAGCCAAAATCAGTTTGAATGTGATGTTTGTTATATTCATTATACTGCTATATATTTAAAAAGCCCCATTAAAAGGAGAATCCAGGCATCCCAATATGCAAGAGAAACGAACAGCCAACTCCAGACCTAGCTGTGCTCAGCGTCTTGGTGCCATCTGCCGTCAGAGCAACTTTCCCTTCTTGTGTCTATCAGCAGAGACTGTGCTTCAGCTGTTGTGCTTCCCTACTTTCTCTTCTCTTTGGACCTTAAAAGGGCTTTGCCCCACAGCCCTATTCTTTTTTTCAAAGATGGGTGGGACAAAAGGAGAGCTGAAATGCCTACCTGCAGTGGTGAGTGTGGTTCTGCCAGCTTCATGGGCTAATAATAATGCGGAAGAGATGGGTAGAAAAGTTGAAGTCAAAGGGGCTGCATGTGAATGAGGTTTTGTCTCATTTCTTCCTTTACAATGAAAGTGCATTTTTTATGCTTAACCTCTGAAACCTAATTAAATTAAAGTGATAATTTAAAAAGAAAACTGTAAAAGAGCCATATGTGCAGATATTTGTCCTACCCCAGCATACTCCTTATTACCAACAGCAGCAGTTTGAAAATGCTTGGTGCGGAAAAAGTGAAACACAACATGTGAATGTATGAACCTTTTGGGGATGCGCTTCCCGATTAAAAAAAACTAAATGCATCTTGTAGGAAAAAAGGAAAAACAGACTTAATTTTCTTGATGTATCAGTGGACCACTTATATTTGATCGTGTGAATGTAATAGCATCTGCGTCAGTAAAGCCAAGGAGTATTTCACTGTGAACAGGTAAACCCATTTGGAACATTATTCTGTTTTCAAGCGTTCTGCTCTTGCAGATTTCAGAGATGTTCACAAGTTTGGGCCAGATGTTGTAGCCCTTACTTGCCCTCAGTAGCATTTTAGTGCTGCAGAGGTTTCCCAAGGAGCAAGGTGGCCCATTGGGAGGCCTTGGCTGACTGAGGAGCAGTTTCAGCAGGATTAAAATGAAGTGCAGAGATCCCTCAGTTGTGGAGGGAGTTTCTCCATGGGAATGAATGAGTCAGAATCTGTGCTTTTGTCTGTCCAGTCTTTAGCCAGCTGGTTACAACAGTTCCAGAAAAAAATAACACAGAAGTGTATGCATCAAATACAGCCCCCTTCTGATGAATTTTCAGCATTACTGTTCTTGCCATTATTCAGTATAGTAAGAATGCATTTGTGGTTTCTCAACATTTCCACAATCATGCAACATTTTTACACCCAGTCATTTTACATGCATCGTTCAGCACATGACTTTTTTGTTTGCTTGTTTTTTTGTAGTGGTTTCAAAGCCCTGGTTATTCACTGCACTTTGTGACTAGCTTTGTGTGTGAAAATGTCAGAAACAGGAAAGAGCATTAACCATATTAAAAAGGCTTTTTCTAATTGAATTTTCCAAATACAGTACATCTGAGAACTGTGTTCCAAAGACAGGCAAATCATTTCCATAGCTGGTCTGCAAAGCAAGAGAGGAGAACATGTGGATTATATTTATCAGGCATTTTCAAATAAATATCTTTATTTTTTTTTTTGTACAAGTAGAGATGGATGTTTTGAGGCACAGTCAGTCTGTCCAGTTGAATGGGATAAGGTGCAACATCAGTTCTCATGGTACATAAGAGGAACTCATGCTGGTAGAGCAGTAGTTGGATATTTATGTACTGTACATGGTCAGAATTTTGTGTATATGTAAAACACTGGGTAGAGCTAGTTTGAAACGTGAAGCTACGCATATTTTGCCTTGCTGGCCTCGAAGTCTTGTTTGAAGTAACCTACAGAATATGGCCATGTTTCTTTTATGGTGTCTTTCATGACTTCACATTGTTGGACTTTGAGGAATCTGGTTCCTGAATATTGAAAAAAGACACATGAATAGATAATAATAGATAATATATAATAGATAATCAGAAAAAATATTTGTAATTGCTCTAACATTGGGGAATTTCTGAGTATGTTACTCAAAGTAGCAGACTGTTTACTGCAATGGAGACATGATTTGACAGTGTGAGTCTCAAGCATTTGGATCTTTGGTTTGTCATCTAAAACACGTCATATCCTTGAAATAAAGGTTTAATCATGTTTAGTTTTATCATTTTAGTTTAATCATGGGTGCTCTGCCAATGCAATGTGTTTCATATAGCTGTATATATGGTGCTATAGGAAAGAAAAGTGTTCTTTTTTCCCATCCTCATGTCCTCCCTCTGGGTCAGGAGAGCAGTGTGTGTGTTTGTGAAGCGTGCGTGCTGCTGGCCACCCAGTGGAGGTATTCAAGTTTAGCAGGCAGCAATCTTGGCACCAGTGCCAATACAGCAGTAATTACAT